GACATAACAGGCCACAACATACAGAGTTGCGTTTTAGTTCACCTCAATATATCCCAATATGTATTTTTTACGTATTAATGTACCGGATATTTATAAAAGATTCGAAATATGTACCTTAATCCGCAATTTTTTTCTGAGACCATCAAAAAGCTTAGAAGAAGAGTTAACTCTTCATTTTCGATATTCTCTATGATTTTTTCCGATTATTTTCCAAGTAATCTACAGATAATCAAATTTTCAGGCTTCTGTTTTTTTTTAATTTTTGACGAACATTCAAAGGAACAATTTATCAGCATAATATTGAGGGAACCCTGTAGGGATAGACAGGGTGGCATAATTATTGAAATTAGTCTCATTTGCAAAATTGATGACAACCCAGAAACCCTGTACCTGATTTTGTCGTTTTCAAAGAAAAGTTGAGGGTCGTACCTTAATTTATGCGTATGCGTACGAATTTATTCACCTCAAAAGTTAAATACATGTAAAGGGTGATTTTTTTGAGGTTAGGATTTTCATGCATTAGTTTTTAACAGATCACGTGGGATTTCAGACATGGTGTCAAAGAGAAAGATGCTCAGTATGCTTTGACATTTCATCATGAATAGACTTACTAACGAGCAACGCTTGCAAATCATTGAATTTTATTACCAAAATCAGTGTTCGGTTCGAAATGTGTTTCGCGCTTTACGTCCGATTTATGGTCTACATAATCGACCAAGTGAGCAAACAATTAATGCGATTGTGACCAAGTTTCGCACTCAGTTTACTTTATTGGACATTAAACCAACCACACGAATGTGTACAGTGCGTACAGAAGACAATATTGCGTCTGTTTCTGAGAGTGTTGCTGAAGACCGTGAAATGTCGATTCGTCGCCGTTCGCAGCAATTGGGTTTGTGTTATTCGACCACATGGAAGATTTTACGCAAAGATCTTGGTGTAAAACCGTATAAAATACAGCTCGTGCAAGAACTGAAGCCGAACGATCTGCCACAACGTCGAATTTTCAGTGAATGGGCCCTAGAGAAGTTGGCAGAAAATCCGCTTTTTTATCGACAAATTTTGTTCAGCGATGAGGCTCATTTGGAGTGAAGAGCAACCAGAAGCCGTTCAAGAACTGCCCATGCATCCCGAAAAATGCACTGTTTGGTGTGGTTTGTACGCTGGTGGAATCATTGGACGGTATTTTTTCAAAGATGCTGTTGGACGCAACGTTACGGTGAATGGCGATCGCTATCGTTCGATGCTAACAAACTTTTTGTTGCCAAAAATTTAAGAACTGAACTTGGTTGACATGTGGTTTCAACAAGATGGCGCTACATGCCACACAGCTCGCGATTCTATGGCCATTTTGAGGGAAAACTTCGGAGAACAATTCATCTCAAGAAATGGACCGGTAAGTTGGCCACCAAGATCATGCGATTTGACGCCTTTAGATTATTTTTTGTGGGGCTACGTCAAGTCTAAAGTCTACAGAAATAAGCCAGCAACTATTCCAGCTTTGGAAGACAACATTTCCGAAGAAATTCGGGCTATTCCGGCCGAAATGTTCGAAAAAGTTGCCCAAAATTGGACTTTCCGAATGGACCACCTAAGACGCAGCCGCGGTCAACATTTAAATGAAATTATCTTCAAAAAGTAAATGTCATGGACCAATTTAACGTTTCAAATAAAGAACCGATGAGATTTTGCAAATTTTGTGCGTTTTTTTTTAAGTTATCAAGCTCTTAACAAATCAATCTTTATTTCAATGAATGTTACAAAAAATACGCATTCCGTATCAAAATATAAAGTTGAAAATGTTTGAATTTTGGATTTTTTGTTTTTTGAAAATATAATTTCAGTCATTGAAAAATTTGTGTTTCTATAAAAGTAAGCATTTTTCGATCAATTAAAAAATGTTTTCATCCATTTTCGCCGTTTTCAATTGGCACAGATGCAAATAAAGTCCTTGCGTATTTGGGTAATGCGAACGTCTAACAAAACCTATAGGTGAGAAAGTGAGTATTTTTGTACGGAGCGCAATAAATTAGGTACGACCCTGAAATATTGAAATATATTACAATTGATCTGTTCCAGTACTTTTTTAATAGTAAAGCTACTAAAAGGTAAACATTTCAAAATCGCTCTCAGAGTACAAATAATTTGAAAATTTAATTAGATGGTAATATGTATATCAAAATCAACACGATAGCCAATTAGAAGATTACCATTTTTCTCGAGTAAAAAGTTCTCTTACATTTGGTTGAACATTATACTAGTTTTGTGGGTTCAGGAACGGGTTTCGAGTAAAAAGTGGGAAAACTTGTAAAATTAGTAGAATATTTTAGGTTATGGAACGGAACTAATATCTGTAAACAATTCCTGTTTACCATTTTTATTCGGCCAAATTTCTCGAGTAAAAAGTTTACAATGAAAAACCCAATTTGTTTTGAGTTCTCTTGAATTTGGCTGAACAGTTTTCAAGTTTTATGGGTTCAGGAACGGGTTTCGAGTAAAACGTTAGAAAACTTGTAAAATTTGTAGAACCTTTTATGTTCTGGAACGGAATTAATGTCTGTCAACAAATTCGTTTGTTTGCTTACAAGTCATAACGAAATAGCTGATAAAATGTCAGCTGATTTTACTGGAAAATGTTTACTAGGTAAATTTTCCCAATAAGAATTGGAAAATACTCAGTAACACAACTGGCAAATTTTCTCTCTCAATTTGCTATATTTTACTGAACTTTAACTTAAACCAACAGTATCCAGAAACAGTTTGTAGAAATTAATGAGTAAACGAGCATACCATGGCACAATGAATAGGTAGCCCATTTAGCGCAGCTGATGTCTTTAGATTTCATCCGAACTTTGCCCATCTTATTATTTCTTCCAAGCTTAGTTCAAATTCGAAGATGGGGAATATTGGTCCACTCCTTCTCGAACCTCCAATCAGGGGCTAGGTCTAATTGCGGCTATAGTTCATTATCGAACCTTACGTTCTAATTTTCTTATCTCTATATCCTCCGCAGGTGAAATGATAACAAAAGAGTCTTAGAACCAAACTCAAAACCCGCAACAAATCAGATAACTATTTTAATATAAAAAAGGGGGTTATATGGGGACTACCCCAAAAAGGAGGCGAATATTTATAATTTTTGGTAGGGAGATTTGTTACCATATACGACTACAAAATACCAAATTGCAGCGAATTCGGTTGAAAAACGCGCTCAAGAACCCCAAAATACCGAAAATTGGGGGTACCCTTATATGGGGGCTATCCGAAAAATTGACCTATATTCATAATATTTTGTGGAGAGATTTGGAACCTATTAAGAACTCAATGTACCAAATTTCATCGTATTCGGTAGAAAAACGCGCTCAAGAACCCCAAAATACCGAAAATTGGGGGTACCCTTATATGGGGGATATCCGAAAAAATCAACCTATATTGATCATTTTATGTGGAGAGATTTGGTACCTATTAAGAACTCGAAATACTAAATTACAGCCAATTCGGTGGAAAAATACGATCAAAACCCCCCAAAATACTGAAAATTATGAGGTACCGTTATATGGGGGCTACCAGAAAAATTTCAGCGTATTCGGTTGAAAAACGCGCCCAAGAACCCCAAAATACCGAAAATTGGGGGTTACTGTTATATGGGAGCTATGCCTAAACGTGTACCGATATATCCCATCTTCGAACTTGACCCGCCTGCAGACAAAAGACAACCCTATGCAAAATTTCAGCACCCTATCTCAATTCCTTCAGAACAGGACGGACATGGCTAGATCGTCTTAGAATTTTACCCTGATCAAGAATATATATACTTTATAGGGTCGGAAATTAATATTTCGATGAGTTACAAACGGAATGACAAAATTAATATGCCCTCCATACTATGGTGGAGGGTACAAAAATTGGATCAAATAGTTTTCTGGGTAGTTTCACCTTTCAAGAACTTGAAATAGCATATCACGCCCACTTTGATTTTAAAATGCGGTTAAAACTGAAAGTTTGAAATGTCGACAATGTGAGGGAGCTTTATTGAAAAGTTCCCGCGACAAAGTTTTCGATAGTAAGAGGCGGCTACAACATTTAAAATACTAAATGTAATGCGATGTGGAGCTATGTTAAAACGTGGAAACATCATATAATAATACAAGTTAGGATAACTCCAGGTGCCTTCTAATGTCAAATAAAAATAGTAATATCTTTCAGTTTTAATTTCAATTAATGGTATGTTCTGCTGTTTCCGGAACAGACATTTAATTTCAATATATTTCAATCCTATTCAAAATAACTCACACATATACTCAAAATAGGTATTTATACCCTACTTTGTAATTGTTATTTCACGGTAAAACAAAATTTCAAATACTCAAAGACCCAATGAGAACCCAAGAAATTAAAATTAATTGTTGCGTATAATTATTTTATCTTTTGACAGAAGAAGCCAAAACTTACATAGTTGTTTTTTGTTATTTAACTCAAGCTGCCCTACCTTGTACCATGGGTGGAACCGTTGAAAAACATTGACATAATTTTAAAACAGTTCACATTTAAGCTTCATATGTTGCTAATTACACGGTCTTAACCAAATTGGTCTTAAATTTTATATATAATATTCAGCAAAATATTCACAATATAATCGTATCAAATCAAATTTCCCTTAATTTTAAATTTCATTATAATTTCTCAACAAATTCCTCGCATTTAGCAACGAGTTGCCAACTATTACGTATGTACCCGTTTCACTAACTACAACCACCATTCACGTAACGTAACGTACAAATGGTTAACCATTCCTCGAGTAACCACACATTGTATTGGCATGACAGCACAGAAATGAACCAAAACAATAGAATTTATTTTGACAATTCTCGAATTGTGTGAGTTTCCCGCACCTTCTGCAAAAATACACCGAACGTTGTGAAGCTAAACAAAACATTTTTGCACAAAGGAGAAAAAATTGAAATAAGAAACCCAAATAAATAAGACAGAATAAACTAACAATGGAAACGGCACGTAAATCATTCGATATCACCAATCAGGTACGACAAAATGCCGAAGAAATTAAAAATGCCATGAACGATTTGTATAGCTGGGAGAAGGAAATCAAGGATAAGGAGAAGAAATTGCAGAATACACCAGCCGCCAGCAATGACATTGGAGATAATAAAATTGTAAGTCATTTTGGTATTGGAAAGGACTTTTATTAATGTTCATCTCTCTTGTAGTTAAATACAATGCCACTTCCACGAAGTCACATCACAGAGCAGGTCTCTAATAAAGATTCAACATCACAACAACAACAACCATTAAATGATTTATCCGGTGGTGGTAACAAGGGAAAGCAACAACCCCAACAATCATTGGAGTCGCCAACTGAAAAAGTGGACACGGTATTAGATCCCATGGCCATGAAACACAAGGAGGCGAATGAAATCAAAGATCGCGGTAATAGTTTTGTTAAATTGGGTCAATACGACATGGCCATTGATGAATATAACAAGGCAATTGAATTGTATCCCGATGATGCGATTTATTACAGCAATAGGGCATTGTGCTATTTGAAAATGGAAAGGTAAGACATAGTTAAACAACAAATATTAATAAATAGCATTTATTTTTTTGTCGATAGGGTACAGTAACTTGCGATATTATTATTGCCATGGTCACATATTTATTTAAAAGTAACAAAATAGAAAACATGTACTAGGGCAGTGTAAAAATACTAAAGGGAGAACTGATAGAAAACCAGTAAGGAAAGTAGAAAAGTCCGACTATATGATACCCTTCACCACTATGGGTATATTAAACAGGACTATTAACATTAAATTGGAGGAAATAAAATATGTGATATTTATCTAACTGTGAATCGACTTCAAACAAATATCAATAGGTCATACGTTGGGCTATGTCTGTACTTCTACAAAACGCAACTACGTAATTATATGTTCAATTTTGTACATTGTGCAAAATATGATGTCAATCTGACTAACATGAGGCAAAAATATATATGGAAGTTATATCCGAATATGAACCGATTTCAACGGAACTTGTCACAGGTTAGGTTATACTAATTTCAGTACGTTTTGTTCCTATCAACCATATATTGGATCCTTGGTGCGTCTATTGAAATCAATCTATAATATAAGGGAGTTATATCTAAATCTCAACCGATTTTCACGAAACTTGGCACATATCAGTCATAATTGAATTATTTTATCTATAAAAGAACTGAAGTACGTCCTACATCTAAAAACTAGCTATAGAGTAGCTTAAGAAGGACTTCTACCTAATGAATAACATAAAAGGATATTTTAGCAACAGAATGTCAAATTGTTGTAGGTGTTGTTTTTCTAGTTCTAGAAGATCTGAAGACCATGTAACTAAAGAAGAGATGAGGAAAATCTCCTAGTTGTAGAGGAGCTGCAAAAGTTTTTTTAGATATGTAAGGAGTCAACAAAAGCTGAACAAGATTCTCCCCCAAGGAGCAGAAGAAGGTCTCCTAGCTACGGAAGATATCAGATTTAAGAAGATATTTTAAATATGGTAGAGATATTCCAGCTCTAGAATAGTTGAAGAATGTCTTCTATATAGGAAAAAATATTCTTTAAGAAATCCACGTCTGTGTTGGTCCCTGAAAAAATATTCTTTAAGAAATCCAAGCTTGTGTTGGTCCCTGAAAAATATTCTTTAAGAAATCGACGCCTGTGTTGGTCCCTTAAAAAATATTCTCTTAGAAATCCACGTCTGTGTTGGTCCCTTAAAAAATATTCTTTAAGAAATCCACGTCTGTGTTGGTCCCTTAAAAAATATTCTTTAAGAAATCCACGTCTGTGTTGGTCCCTTAAAAAATATTCTTTAAGAAATCCACGTCTGTGTTGGTCCCTTAAAAAATATTCTTTAAGAAATCCACGTCTGTGTTGGTCCCTTAAAAAATATTCTTTAAGAAATCCACGTCTGCGTTGGTCCCTTAAAAAATATTCTTTAAGAAATCCACGTCTGTGTTGGTCCATTAAAAAATATTCTTTAAGAAATCCACGTCTGTGTTGGTCCCTGAAAGAATACTCTTTAAGAAATCCACGCCTCGCCTGTATTGGTCCCTGAAAAAATATTCTTTAAGAAATCCACGCCTCGCCTGTATTGGTCCTTGAAAAAATATTCTTTAAGAAATCCACGCCTCGCCTGTGTTGGTCCCTGAAAAAATATTCTTTAAGAAATCCACGCCTCGCCTGTGTTGGTCCCTGAAAAAATATTCTTTAAGAAATCCACGCCTCGCCTGTGTTGGTCCCTGAAAAAATATTCTTTAAGAAATCCACGCCTCGCCTTATTAAAGAGTTTTTCTTTAAAAATCTTTCAATAATTTCAGATATGACGAATGCATTGACGATTGTGATCGGGCAACAGAAATCGATAATTTAGCAGTGAAAGCTTATTATCGTCGCATGCAGGCAAATGAGTGCTTAGGCAATAATATGGATGCCCTTAAGGATTGTACTACAGTACTAATGATTGAGCCCAAAAACAGTGAGGCAAATCGCAGCCTGGAAAGGATTAACGAACGCTTACGTAAAAATGGTATATTTCAATTGAAATGATTGCAAATTTCCAAATAATAAAGTCATTTCTTATTTTTTCCACAGCGAAAAACTCAAAAGGTCCCAATTTCACAAGTCTGCGTAGCAATGTTGTGGATATTTTACCCATTGATAAGCCAGCCTATAAACGTTCTACGAAACCCTTAAAGCGTATACCAATTGCTGATGTTGTTGGACCGAAAGAAATTAAAAATAATGATTGTCTTAAAATGTCAGATGAGGATATTGATAAGATGTTTAATAGTTATAGCGGTGTTATTAAAGAGATTAAAAATCCCGAAGAAAGACTTAAGGCCAAAGAAAATGCTGCTGCTGCGGCCAAACAAACAAAACCTGTTGCAGTGGATAATAAGGATAATATAAAACACAATGAAAATAAAGAAAATATCGTAGAAGAGAAATCAACTTCAAAGGATGCACAACCGGAAAAGGCACACAAAGAAAATGATGTTAAGAAAACTAATGAGGCCAAAGAACAAGATTCGAATAAAATTGAAAGTGTAAACAAGTTGACAACAAATATTGTTGATGACAACATTAACTACAATGTAAGTAAGATAGTTTTTTATCAAATCTCAATTTATTTAAAATAGTTGTATATTTTGTAGCGTCCCCTACCAGAAGCTCCAATATCCTCTGCTCAATTTTATTCCAATTGGAAAGAGTTATCACCACAACATAAATATGAATATCTGAAAAGTATTAATCCCAATAATGTGTGTAAAATTCTGGGAGCTGGTTTTGATTCCGACACCCTAACCGATGTCATACGCACACTACATGATTTCTATTTGCCGACAAAGGATGCAACCTTAGCTAAAACTCTACTGGAAGTTAGTAAAAATAAACAGGTGCCCATTTTGTCATTGCTAATGTCCAATGAGGAGAGGAAGGGTAGGTTTGCATACTAATGAAAATGAAGTACATTTTAATTATTACTTTTTTTTCTTTCAGCCCTTTCCGAAATTGTTAACTCTCTGAAGGGTGACAGTTCTTCGGATGCAGCTGCAGCGCAAATAATGAAAAATTTCAATTTGAAATAAACAGAGCTATCAATTCAAATTGTTTCTCGGATACATATTCATTTCCTGCCTTCCCAAAAAAGAAAATTAGTATGTTAATTTCCTTTTTTCTTGTGGTATTAATTCTACTTCTTTTTTTGGTAATACTTAATAATTATACATATAGAATAATTTTTCCAAAGAATTAATGTTGAAAAATATAAAATTCTATTCTAGTTACAATAGTGTGAAGAACATGGAGAAATCATTTATGCTGTTGATTGACATATTTGCATTTAAAGTTAATACAACGGGAGACAAATTCACGATACAATACTATATACGAACATTCATATTGAGAAAGAATGAAAGTTTCAATGATAAATCAATTGATAAATCACAAAAAAAAAAACAAATAGCTGTGCGGAGAAGGTTCCGGGATACTCTAAATATAAGTCAAAGCGGACATCAGCAACCATCACAATCGAGAATTTCTTAAAGAATATTTTTTCAGGGACCAACACAGGCGAGGCGTGGATTTCTTAAAGAATATTTTTTCAGGGACCAACACAGGCGAGGCGTGGATTTCTTAAAGAATATTTTTTCAGGGACCAACACAGGCGAGGCGTGGATTTCTTAAAGAATATTTTTTCAGGGACCAACACAGGCGAGGCGTGGATTTCTTAAAGAATATTTTTTCAGGGACCAACACAGGCGAGGCGTGGATTTCTTAAAGAATATTTTTTCAGGGACCAACACAGGCGAGGCGTGGATTTCTTAAAGAATATTTTTTCAGGGACCAACACAGGCGAGGCGTGGATTTCTTAAAGAATATTTTTTCAGGGACCAACACAGGCGAGGCGTGGATTTCTTAAAGAATATTTTTTCAGGGACCAACACAGGCGAGGCGTGGATTTCTTAAAGAATATTTTTTCAGGGACCAACACAGGCGAGGCGTGGATTTCTTAAAGAATATTTTTTCAGGGACCAACACAGGCGAGGCGTGGATTTCTTAAAGAATATTTTTTCAGGGACCAACACAGGCGAGGCGTGGATTTCTTAAAGAATATTTTTTCAGGGACCAACACAGGCGAGGCGTGGATTTCTTAAAGAATATTTTTTCAGGGACCAACACAGGCGAGGCGTGGATTTCTTAAAGAATATTTTTTCAGGGACCAACACAGGCGAGGCGTGGATTTCTTAAAGAATATTTTTTCAGGGACCAACACAGGCGAGGCGTGGATTTCTTAAAGAATATTTTTTCAGGGACCAACACAGGCGAGGCGTGGATTTCTTAAAGAATATTTTTTCAGGGACCAACACAGGCGAGGCGTGGATTTCTTAAAGAATATTTTTTCAGGGACCAACACAGGCGAGGCGTGGATTTCTTAAAGAATATTTTTTCAGGGACCAACACAGGCGAGGCGTGGATTTCTTAAAGAATATTTTTTCAGGGACCAACACAGGCGAGGCGTGGATTTCTTAAAGAATATTTTTTCAGGGACCATCAGAAATGCCACAGTTGCTGCATTCAAATATATGCAAAGAAAACTTTTTTTTAAAGCTGTAGTATTAAGAAGAGTAAATCTCTTATCATCTCTACATTTATTAAGAGAACAATTTGTGTTAAGGGAATTACAATGAGAATACTCTAAATAAATCATGTATTTTTTTATTTGAAATGCAATGCAAGTAGATACAACAGGTTTACTTTTCCAGAGAGCTGGATGGTATGACAAGTTTGTTTTGCTCCCCATAAACACGATGCAATTTCGATTATGTCGACGTATTGGTAAAATAGTATCTGGTCAAGTGTTTTTCTGTGTGGATACATTCCTAAGGCACACATGATTAGATTTTAATGACTCTCTAGTGAACCATTAGAGATGAGAGATACTTAGAGAATGAGAGTAGACAATAGAGTGTTCTGTTTTGTTGTTATTTTTTGCTTTGTTTTGTTGATGATAATTTTATATGGTTCGTTGGGTTCACGGCTGAAGTTCGATAATCGATATTTAAAAGCAAGTGAAATAGGATCAGTCAATAAAATAAATAACGGTCAGTAGAGATAAATCTTGAAAAATAATATATACATAATGTATGGTTATACCACAGTGGAACCCGTCTATATCGTTTATGACGAATATATATCTTATTCGTAAAATCATCTTCAATATCAAAAACTTTGCTATGAAAATTCGAGTTAGGGCCATTGACAAATATAAATTTTTGGTCCTGTCAGGTTCGTCTGCAGTGTCAGTTTAATGTTCAATGGCAAAACAGTACTATAACCAACAACAATTTCTTGTTCACACCGGTTCCACTTGGTACATACAAGTAGAGTATAAGATAAATACGAGGGTTGGTGTTAGAAATATTATGTAATGCCAAATAATTAAAAAACGGAATTTTTAAGGGACATACACGGGCTTGGAGTTTTTAAAGAATATTTTTCCGGAACCAAAAAAAGAGTGTATTTTTTTATAATAATTTTTTAGGACCATCATAGGCGTGGATTAATTAAAGAATATTTTTTCAGGACCATCATAGGCGTGGATTTATTAAAGAATATATTTTTCAGGACCATCATAGGCGTGGATTTCTTAAAAAATATTTTTTTCAGGACCATCATAGGCTTGATTTCTTAAAGAATATTTTTTTCAGGACCATCATAGGCTTGATTTCTTAAAGAATATTTTTTCAAGACCACCATAGGCGTGGATTTCTTAAAGAATATTTTTTCAGGACCAGCATAGGCGCGGATTTCTTAAAGAATATTTTTTCAGGACCACCATAGGCGTGGATTTCTTAAAGAATATTTTTTCAGGACCATCATAGGCGTGGATTAATTAAAGAATATTTTTTCAGGACCATCTAGGCGTGGATTTCTTAAGGAATATTTTTTCAGGACCATCATAGGCGTGGATTTCTTAAAGAATATTTTTTTCAGGATCATCATAGGCTTGATTTCTTAAAGAATATTTTTTCAAGACCACCACAGGCGTGGATTTCTTAAAGAATATTTTTTCAGGACCACCATAGGCGTGGATTTCTTAAAGAATATTTTTTCAGGACCACCATAGGCGTGGATTTCTTAAAGAATATTTTTTCAGGACCACCATAGGCCTGGATTTCTTAAAGAATATTTTTTTCAGTGACCATCAAAGACCTGAGAATATTTTTCAGGGACCTAATCAGGCGTGGATTTCTTAAAGAATATTTTTTCAGTGACCATCAAAGACTTTTTCAGGGACCTAATCAGGCGTGGATTCCTTAAATAATATTTTTTCAGTGACCTTCAAAAACTTGAGAATATTTTTCAGGGACATAATCAGGCGTGGATTTCTTAAAGAATATTTTCAGTGACCATCAAAGACCTGAGAATATTTTTCAGGAACCTAATCAGGCGTGGATTTCTTAAAGAATATTTTTTCAGGACCATCATAGGCGTGGATTTCTTAAAGAATATTTTTTTCAGGACCATCATAGGCGTGGATTTCTTAAAGAATATTTTTTCAGGACCATCATAGGCGTGGATTTCTTAAAGAATATTTTTTCAGGACCATCATAGGCGTGGATTTCTTAAAGAATATTTTTTCAGGACCATCATAGGCGTGGATTTCTTAAAGAATATTTTTTCAGGACCATCATAGGCGTGGATTTCTTAAAGAATATTTTTTCAGTGACCATCATAGGCGTGGATTTCTTAAAGAATATTTTTTCAGTGACCATCATAGGCGTGGATTTCTTAAAGAATATTTTTTCAGTGACCATCATAGGCGTGGATTTCTTAAAGAATATTTTTTCAGGACCATCATAGGCGTGGATTTCTTAAAGAATATTTTTTCAGGACCATCATAGGCGTGGATTTCTTAAAGAATATTTTTTCAGTGACCATCATAGGCGTGGATTTCTTAAAGAATATTTTTTCAGTGACC